GGGCAAAGGTGACCTTTCTACTAGGCTCCTAAAAATACCAACTTCTTTGTGAAAAATAAATCTGATCTCATAATTACCAAATCTAAAATCCTTTAGTGGTTTCTCTCAATCTTCAGGATAAAGTATAACCCCTTAATATGACTCACAAGGCTCTCTACAGTTAACATGCCCACCTCACTTTCCAGACTCAATATTCCCATGCCCCCAGCACACTCAACTCTGGCTATACTAAAAAGAAATTGTAGATTTGCCTGTTTACTAATGTTGCCTAGCTCCCTTCCACATACTTAACCTGGTTTACCTCTATTTATCTTTTAGTACTTAGATGAGTTACTCCGCAGGAAGCCTTCCTATCCTAAACTAGATGCAGTGCTCTACCTGGGAGTTACCTTAATGTTGGGGGCTGAATGATGTTTCCTGAAATTTTGTATGTTAAAATCCTGCCTGCATTACCTCAGTGTATGACTGTATTCAAAGACAGAGCTTTGAAAGAGGTAATTAAGTTACAGTGAGACTGTTAGGGTGAACCTTATAAGGTCTCCTGTTCAGAGAAAATATGGACACAGACTCACACAAAGGAAAGATGATCCAGAGACACAAAGAAAATAGGACCATCTGTAAGCTAGGGAGAGAGGCCTCAGAAGACACCCTACTGACATCTTGATTTTGGACTTTAAACCTCCAGAATTGTGAGAAAATTAATTTCTGTTGTTTAAGCTACCCAGTCTGTGTTACAGTGATACAGCAGCCCTAGCCAACTATTACATTTAGTATCCTAGGTAAGCCTAGTGACACACTTATTTCATATCAAATAACTGCATTATGATCTTTCCACCTGCAGTGTTGAGCTCAGTGACAGGCACTTACCAAATGCTCCATAGGTATTTGCTAAATAAATGGAAGAATGAATGAACCACTTACTCTGCTTGAGCACAGGCCATCTTCCATACAACATCACTTTTGAAAACTGGAAAGTAGGCTGGACTAGCATAGCCATGCTAGAAAAAATTTAGCTCCATCCCAGAGGAGTGAAAAGGAAACCAACACTATGGCTCCCTCTGCGGCAATCAGGATTTGGAAAAACAGAAGGTTACAGTGGCAACCCACGCAGCACAGATCTGTGGTATTTCCCAGATCTTTCAAACACATTTAATTCTGCACATGGAAAATAATGGCATCATTATTTAATCCAAAATACAATAACAACAATAGATTGCTCATGTGGGTGCGTAAGTCCCCTGCAGAGAATTTAATGTGCCATTTGCCTTTACCCACATATACAGCCAAGGCTGTGAGAATGGGGGCCAGTGCACACTCCTGGCCTGCAAAGGGAAAATGTGGATGCCCAATAGCAAAAGGGGGGAAGACAAAGAAAGCCCAAGGGTATAGCTGTAACTTCACTGAAGACTAATGCATATCTTCATTTCAGTCCTCAGCAATAATCCAAAAAAATATCTGATGTTCCTGAAAGACTGCTGTCATCCCTGGTAGATGCTCATCAATTATTATTAAGTATTGCACAGTTCGGGTCAAGATATAATATGTCTGAGAAAAACCGTGGCACCTCCTTTTAATCTTGCGTAGAAAACAATTAAAGTATATAAAGCACATTATTAAAATATGTAAAATTTATAATTTAATTATAAGATTGCATAGCTTTATGATCTAATAGTTCTGCTGTATTTTGCATATTAGTGAACAATTGCTTTCTTAAAGCACACAGTAGAATCATTTACTTGATGCTGGAGAATAAGTTAATTATGGATTCCCTGTATATGACTAATGGATTTAATAATCACTTTACTGTAGAATTAACTTATACTTCCCTGTGCTTATAGCACTAATGATGATATTCATAAAAGTTATATTTTTTAAAAAATGTAAGATTGGCACAAAAAGAGAAACCAATGTACAACTTGGTTTTAGAGCCAGCAGTTCTAAATAGATAGTTCAAAGCCATCAAGGCCCTCTCCTTGCTCTGTAATAAATCATACACATCCTCTCCAGCCCCCACCCCCGCCACCAACCCTGCCTCCTTTGGCTTTATTAAGGGAATTTATTTTATTTAAGGGAAGACGAAATGCTTGCCAGATGCATTTAGTGAAGCTCCTGATTTTTTTTAACCCTGGTTGTGGATTACAATAAGGATTCTTCACTTACATTCACTTCATGGAGCTCTGGGAAGCCCCATATGTGCTAGAATCACTTTGAGATGCTCCAGTCCTTCTGTTTGTCCTAGTTTCAGTTTGTTGAAGCCACTCGCTTTTCTCTTTTAGCCAGAACAAACAAAACTAGTGTAAGAAGTAGCAGGATGTTCTTTGTTTAAGAAGAGTCCTTGGCACTCTCTTTCCCATCTTTTATCCTTCCTTTCCACCATCCCCCACCACAAGTAGAGTAGCTGTCTTCACCATCTTCATCATCACCATCATCTGAGTCACTGTTCCTCCTGGAATTTAGCAATGGAGGCTTAGATTTTATTTCCAGCTCTACCAACTTACTAGCAGGGGATGACCTTGGGTGGGTCATTAAATCTCTCCAAACCTATTTCTCTAGCTCTAAAATGGGAAAACTCCCTCTGGCTCTGAATGTGCTTACCCACTATCAAGCCCTAAATACAGTTAGTGTATTGTTACGGTGCTCCTTCTTATTCCAATAGGCATCATTGAGCCCCCCATAAACTACTACTCTGTTTCTGGCATGGAGATTTGAGAAACTAATTAAGGCTTACACTTTGGTATATCACAGGGAAATGTTCACAAAGCATGCGCTTACTAAATACATGCTGATTGACTGAGAGCGTGTGTTTATTTGTTTGTTTCTTTTGTGTTCTGGGGAATCAAACCTGGGACCTCACACTTGCCAGGCAATTTAGTCTATCACTCTATAGACCTATAGCCCTGTCTCTAAAAGACTATAAAATTGTTAATTCACTCCTTGAGGACCTGAGATGTTACCATTTTCATTAGGTCACAAACCTGTAGTGGTATCTGCACCCTTGAATCCTTGTTTCTCTGACTCACATGCCCACCAATGGCCCCCAATGAAATGCACTAATTAGTGTGCAAGGGTCATAATTGGTAAAGACGGGCCTCCAAGAAATGCATACTAGCCGTTATCAGGGACTCAGAAGACCTAAGGCCACCATCACTGTCCCCTCTGCTGTTTTCTCCAAGGTGCAGGATACCTGTCCCCCTTCCTGATTAAAATGTAGGAGTAAACTAAACTTTTTTTTTAATAAATAAAATACTGAATTGCTCTGACAAGAAGGAAATCCACAAAATTTTGCCTTTGTTTTATTCATAACCTGTAGAATATATTAAAAGGAATTTTTAAAGCTGAATTTTCAAGATTTCACTCAAGTCCTCCTTGGCTAATTAAAATGTGGTAGGTATAAATGTTCTACTCCCTTTTAATATTTAAATTTTCTCTATTTTTTTAATGAACTTTATTTATGGTACACATTTTCCCCACAGTCCCAATCCTGGACTATCGTCCAGTCACTCTATAGCAATTGAGGTGATTTCTTAAGTTTGTTTATTCATTAAAAACATACTCATGATACTTCCTGAAATTCATTTTTCTTATTAAAAATATGTAACCTGACAAACCCTTTGCCTAACCATATGCTCTTTTCTCTTTATCCATGACCTCTAGCTTTCAGCCTGAAACAAGATTTCTGTGACTACAATGTGCATATAATCACCCGGAGACTCATGTTTAAGGGCACATCCTCCACCTTTGTCTCAATTTCATTCTATTTCAACCTCATATTTCCTTCTCCTTTTCCATCCTGTTCCACAAGCAGCAAACTAAATGCTTTGAATTTACATGAATATCACTGTTCCTCTGATTTTTCAGGTGTCTTTTGCTTTTCAAATGTTAATATCTAAAATATCTCAGATTTATATACACCTTTACATCTTACAAAAGGGCCTGCATGCACTTAGTTCATAAAAATGAGTCATTTCTAGAGAAAGAGAGAGTGAAAGGGTAGAAAAAATAGATGGACTTGGAAGTGAAATTCACCTGGGTACAAATCCTGACTCTGCTAAGAATTCAGTGTCGGAAAAATTATTATTTAGCTTCTTTGTTTATATTTTTTTGACCCGTCAAATATGGAGTATAAATAGCTGCATCATGAGCTACCTATTTAAGTTAAGCTTGAGGTTGTGGGGTTTCAAATGAAACTGACTAGCCAAGACTTGGCACCCAGAAGATACTTAATGTACCTTCCCCCAGCCTCACATGTAGCTGTTTCCTCTAATCTTACTTCACTGAGCCTGGATCTCTCAATGCACTCTGTCCTGTGATCACTGTCCTTTTTCAAGATGGCAAATGACATCAAACGCTACCTTCTCTTTTTTATCTCTAAACATTTCCAATTTTTCTGTAAAACCTGCTGCTTTTGTGAAGCACGCAGTGGTATTTGACACTTACATTTCAAGTGATCAAACAAGACCTGATGACAAATCTAAGAAAAATGATACCAGCCTTTCAAAGAAAACCAAAATCAATTCCCTTTCGCCTCTCTTCCTTGTGCTTCTCTCTTTTTCCCTGTGTTATCTTACTTCATCTATCATACTTAGACAGAAATCCATATGTGTAGTTTAAATCACTGTTTCTCAGGCAACAGCCAGGCCACTTAGCAAGAGTCTAAAGCAAGCCAATATAATATTCTGCTCAGAGTAGTATTCGGCCAAAGGTTACTGTGCCAAAGTAAGTTAATTATTCCAAGAGGACTTACTTTTACTATAATTATCGATCACTATGAACTAATAAAAAAAAGCTGCTATTTATTAAGTGTCTCTTTCTCCCCAAGAAGCTTTTACATATGTATCTCATTTCAATCTCCACAACTATTATGGCTTATATCTGGATGTTCCCCCCAAAGCCACATGAGCTCATAGGTGGGGCTTTTGGGAGTGACTGGATCATGGGTGTGATACTGGATTAGTCCACTGACTGGTTTAGCATAATTCTAGATGTGGATGATGGACTTACTGAAGAGGGAAGACCCACCCAGGGTGTGGGTGGCACCACCCAATAGGCTTGGAACCTGGATGGAATAAAAAGGGAAAGAAGAAGGAAGTCTTTCTGCTTCCTACCTGCCATGCTCATCTACTGTGCTGCCTTGCCTTGGAGCCAGCTGACTACAGACTGAAACCTCTACAAATTGTGAGCTAAAATAACTTTTCTTCCTTTAACTTGTGAGTCAGGTATTTTTGTCCCAGGAATAAGAAAGTAAGACAACAGCATTGCAATGTATTTTCCAATTTTAAAGGAAAATCTAAAATCAGTTTGGTAAAATTAGAGAGGTCATCAGCCAGTGAATTGCAGAGCCAAAATTCAAACCAAGCTAAAAGTGATTATCTGGTATTTCACTAGCACTTTTAATTTAAAATTTGCAATTAGCCTAGTAATTTGCACATGAAATGAAGGCTATATCTCCTAGAGAGGTCAGTTTCAGCCTGGAAGGGTCCCCCAGTTTCTTGGTTAGGAGATAAAACCTGGCTGCCAGCACTCTGGTAGTCCAGAAGGAAAATGGGCCTGAGGTCTCCCTGTTCAGTGGGCTATAGACATTGACTTAATCTCCTGGTACAGCAACTTGCCCCTGGCCACAAGTAAGTAAATATTGTAGATATTAAATCATCACTTTTCTTTTTTTTTATTTTTAATGAGCTACCCACAGAAGGCTCTTACTTTTTCTATAAAGTCATTTTAAAGCATCTGTTTTCAGTTCCATTCCACAACACCGTCTCCACGGGTGGAAAGAAGGAAAAAGGGAGGAAAGAAGGAAGGAAGGAAGGAAAGAAAGAAGGAAAGGGGGAGGGAGGGAAGGAGGGAAAGAGAAGAAGAATTGATGGACTGTCATTCTTTAAAAGAATTTTTAATCACACATAATAATAAACTTCATATTTTACATAATTTTTCCTCATTAATACTTCTTTGGCTTCACTATAGGTAGTAAAGAACAATTCTATTTTGACACAATAGCTGTCTTGGGATTTGGCTTCCAGAACCATCCAGGAGGCAAAATTACAATTCCACTGTCAAGTGTATAGTTGCTTTTAAACACAAAAGCTGTCCTTATAAAAGTTGCATCCCACAAGAACATTTGTGGATTCAAAAATATCCTATTTAGCTTCTCTGGACTTGGAATAGGATATCAATACTGGCTTAAAATTATCTGTGGCAGATTTTTAAATGTTTTGGAAGAGAAAGTGAGGAGAGAAGAAAAGATGAAATGGGGACTTTTTTCATTTGGCTTAAAATCAATGATTCAAGACTGGTGTTCACTGCCTGGGAAATGAAGCCTCTGGTGAGCATCATGGTGTATGTAGTCCAGCTACATGTGGTTCATGATTTGCACAGGTTTCCCCACTTTGCATCATGAGCATTGGCTGAAATTATTCAGGGAGATGTGCTAGCTATAGAGAATATGATTTAGAACTGTATTCCTGGCTTGCAAACTCCCTATCCAAGATTGTGTTGGATTGATACAACTGCTGCTTGGAACCTAGGAATGTGATTGAGAACAGCCATGTCCATGGTCAGTGTGGGCACAATCTGGCATGGTCTTGGAGGCAGAGGTGCTGACAAATGGAGAGCCATGATGCATTTGGACAAACCAGGAAACCATCTGTGGGCCCAAAGAAAAGACCTATGAGAATGCCTGCCCATTCAAGGAGCTAAACTCTCAGATGACCACCAACTTCGATCTCTCAGATGGGCATGAAACACAAAATGCTTTGTGATTCAGGTAATGCAGAATGCACAGCATTTAATGGAGTACTTAAAGAATAAAAGATATACGTCTTGCATATGTTTTTCTGTTTCTGTGAGTTAAAATGGTCTAAGAGCCTAATATCTACTTTATGGTCATAATCTGATTAAATTTCTGGATTGTTCTAGCTTTAGCAGATCTGAAAACTCTGGTGCTGTCCAGGGTTTGATTCAGTGCTCCATAGTTAAAATTACATAAGGATGAAAAAATGAACTATAATAGGGTGCAAATGTGACTTTATCAAGTAATAGTAAATATTTCTATTTACATATTTCATAAGAATAACAGAATTGTCTGTACCCCTTCTATAATTATCATGCAAAATCAGTTAATCTTTAATGATATCTAAATGGAATTAAAAGTAATAAGAAAAATACAAGGTTAAATAGCTCAATAAATATGAATTATATCTATTCTGAATTTATATTTTTAAAATTATGGACACAGTACATAATTAATTGAATGAAATTTTGCTTTGGTGTGAGTTTAAAGCTTACATCCTTTGAATGAGCCACATGCATACAGGTTGTAAATCTACATTACTTGGTAAGTGAGTGAGTAGAAAAGACTTGCTATGTCAATGGGAAATCATTTACACTTATTTTGGTGCACTAAAAAGCTATAACAAGACAAAATAAAGTTCTTCTAAGGCTGCATTTTCCTTGACAGGATAAAGCAGCTAATGTAAACATAAAACTACTATATTCATTGGGAAAGATGAAGAAAAATAAAGCAATTACAACAGCAACTTTCACACAGAGTTTTACAGTCTTGTATTAATATAATTCATTCTTCAAAAACAAATAGTGCCCATTTCTTATAGATGTTCCAAAGTCCTAATACATGCTCTGTGGAGTTTCTAAACTGATTATTAAACCTTTCAAAAATTGTTCTGAAGATAACTGTTAATGAATAGGGTAAGCTCAACAGTTAGCTTGATTCCTAGACTCTACTAGGTGTTATCACATGTGCACACTCTAAAGACACATATTTCAAAATAAGGTCATTCCACTTAGCTTTCAAAAGTCCATTGGTGTAATTTTCCCTACTGTATTTCTTCTGATGAGCAAAAATTTGAGATCTCAGGAAGCAGATTTCCAGAATGAACTAAGACTTCACCAGCAATATCCCCATTATAATAACATCAAGCCATTTTAATACAGTGTTAGAGTTGTATAACTAAGCACACAGGTCTTTCAAAGCATTGAGGTACTGATGTAATAAAATTCAAAACTCACAAGAATTACATACTTTAGCAATAAGAATGTGCTCAAGATTCATGTGTTCAAAACAATATCTCAAATCAACTCTACCTATTATTATGATGGTATTCTGTTGCAAATGAGAAACAAGAGCCATTTTCTTCAGAGAAATAGAACCACAGTGACCCTTAAAGTCCAATGTCCCTGATTTATTGTCATATTTATTGTTAATGATTACTCATGAGACTAAATTCTCCCTCCAGTGCCACTTTTTCTTTAATTTTTAAACTTACTGTAGCTCTTCTGTTATCACCTTGAAATCATCAATGCTAGTTTTCAGAAATTTTCTGTATCACTTGTGTTCATTGATTTGTAACTTCTCAGTACAATTTTTTATTTCCTTGGACTGAAAAGATGGCTCTAAATGATGGATGGGTACCAATTATTTGGGAGAAAAGAATCTTACCATTCTTGATTTGGTTAACTCCTCCACACTTTCATTTCTACATGGATAATAATAGCACTATTTGCAGTTAAAGTAGAAGAAAATGAATGCAGTGAATAGGAGTTTTTCAGAATCTTGTGATAAACCTTTTTAAAAATCACATTTACAAAAGCATAGTTAACTATTACTCTGATAATTTATGTTAATACCATCCTGTAATGTTCTGGATTCACATTCATTGCAAAATGATCAATTTACCAATATAATTATGATTTTCCTGCATTCATATGAAATAATTTGCAGTTAAACACATATACACATCGGCAACAAGGTAAAATCCTTAAAAAATACTTTCAAGGCTGTATTTTATTTAAATCTGGCTCAGTGTCCTGACCTAAATAATACAAACATAATGTAGTTTAGCAGTCCAGTGGGTCCAATTTTCTTTGGGGTTTTGGCAGATACATAATAAGATAGATTGGGTTTGAACTTTTTCATGCTGAGGCTATAGAAAGTCTGTGAAGCCTTTTGTGGACAAGACAGGTAGATTTATCCTGAGTGATTTGAACACAGGTTATTATGAATATATTAAGTTTGTGAGATAAAGAGAAACCAAAAGACCAGCTTCAAAGATTATTATGTGATATTAACAGGAACAATGAAGTCAGTTCTGTTTCTTCTATCCTAGAGTGACTGATTTGTCAGCAATTTAGGATAAAGACAAATACCTTTAATTCATTTAAATCAAAGAAAAGGCTATTATTTTTAGGAATCACGAAATATCCCCCAAAAGAGGAAAAACAAAAACAAACAAAAAAACCTACTTCCAAATATTTGGAAATTTTAGCACCAATGAGGACAAAAAAAAAAAAAAAAAAATGGTGACTAGGAGAGCTAGGCTAACATCAGTCCTTTATGAGTTTCTTGGTGTAAACTGTACTCCCCAGTGCTGAGAAGCAACAATTTTACACCAGTCTACTTTTGTTTTATTTCTTCTCCCATTTATTTTTGATTGGATATGGACAACCTAATATGTTCAAGGCCCAAATATAGTAGTTTTGCCCTTGAAAAAGAAAATCTATGTGATTTTTGGTTTTTTATTGGTACCCTTGGCCTGAACATTCCTGCTTTCCCATGAGAAAAACAAAGATTACTTTAATGTTAAATTGACTGGTGCCCCATTCTGATATCCTGAGATTATTATTAATGAAAAAATATTTAAAAAGAAATAGAAGCTCTGGAATATAAAATTTATAAAAGGTATCTAACTTCACAGGATCTTATCAGTCATGAAATAATTATACAATGTCATCTTGTATCAATTGTGTTGTAGATTATAACAAATAGTTAAATAAGCAGGCAAGACAATTCATAGTTGGATTAAATACAGCTTGTATCTTTTTTAACCTTGGGGCATAGCAAAGTCAATTTCCAAGATATTGTATCACTTGAGATAAAATTGAGCTATGTAGCATTGATATTGCATTATTTTCAGGAAGCATTTTTAGTATACATAATTAAATATTAATTAAATACATGCATATGCATATATTTTGAATTTTGTCCTCTAAATGGATAAAAATCTTCTCTGAGGCAACTGGTAGAAGTTTACGGCATTTTTAATGTGATTTTTTAAAAGTAAAAATAACACTGAAATATAACTCACTATATTCTTCATTATATCTCTTTTCTGAATAAAGCATCTGTTTTAGATTTAGTTCCATTATTGAAATGAAAGTATAAATCTAGTTATAATACAAGGAACAAATGGTGTAATGGAAAAGTATTTTCCTTGTAGACAGACAAACCTTGTTTAAATTTGGGCTCTGCCACTTAAAATACAGTGGACCTGGGGCAAGGTGCTTAACTTCTTTGAAGTCACCTGTAAAATTAGAAAATACTTACCTTGCCAGCTGAGAGTGTTAAATAAGAAATGCACAGAGCTTAATGCATAAGTATTCAAAAATACTTTTCCTTTCTCTCATCCACATAGTAAAAATATGATCCTAGAGTAGTGACTATTTTTATCCTATATATTATGTTATGAAGAATATCCTGAATTGTTTATATGATCCTTTTTACAACAGCTTTACTGAGATAAAATTCACATGCCATGCAACTCACCAATTTAAAGTGTCCAATGCAATGACTTAAAGTATATTCACAGGGTTATGTATCCATTACCACAATCAAATTTATATTTACTACTTCCTAAAGAAACCTTACTCCTGTTAGCCATCACCCTTTAATCCTCCCATCTTGCCCAGAACCACACAATCACTAATCTACCTTCTGTCTAAAGGTTTTCCTATTTCAAACCAATTAGGTTTGGATATAGTTTGATTATGTGCCCCAGAGCTTCAAGATGTGCAAGCTTGGTCCCCAGTGTGATGATGTAGAGAGATGGTAGAACCATTAAGAGGTTGGGCCTAGTGACAGCTAATTAGGTCATTAGAGCCATTGCCTTCAGAAATGGTTAGTGCTGGTCCCAATAAGAGTTAGAATGAGTTGTTATAAAAATAGCTAGGCTGATTTCTCCCCCATCTCTGACTTCCTATCTTGCCATGTTACTTTTCTCTCCCTCTCACACACAAGATACCATCATGATGCCATCTGTCATGTTGTGACATAGCTAAGGAGGCTCTCACCAAAGGTTGAACCAGTGAGACCACCCAATCTTAGAATTCCAGCCTCCAAAACAATGAGCTAAATAAATCACTTTTCTTTATAAAGCATTGGGTATTTTATAAAACAATGGAAATGAATTAATACATGCACATTTCATATAAGTGGAATTCTATAATCCTCTGTGAATGACTAATTACACCTAACATAGTTTTACAGGCTCATGCATTATAGCATGTATCAGTACTTCATTACCTTTTATTGCTGAATAATGCTGTATTGCATGGACATCACACATTTTATTTATCCATCCATCAATTGATGGATATTAAGAGTTGTTTGCCTTTTTGTCTACTAGAAATAATTCTTCCATGAACACTCATGTTCAAGTTTTTGTTTGGACATATTTTTATTTCTCTTGGGCATATAACTGCAGGTAGAATTGATGCACTGCATAGTCACCTTAATCATTTGGGAAACTTCTAGATTGTTTTTCTTATACAATATTTTACATTTATATCAGCTACATGAAGATTTCAGTTTCTCAACATCCTCATCACCATTTGCTATCTCTGTTTTTGTTTTGTTTTTCTTCTAAGATCCTTCCTGAGGCTCTTTTCATTTTAAGATCCTGTCTGAAGGATATTTCACTGCAGTTTTGATTTGCCTTTTCTTGACTGACAAAATTGAACATCTTTTCATGT